TGAGCCTCACATCTGACTGTGATAACAGACTCTGAAGTGCCTCTAATGTTTGTTGGGGACACCACTAACATTTCTGGTTATCTCCCAAACCAATTTTTTTCTTTACATTTCGTGATGGGGCTGGCAGTGTCATTCCAGGCAGCCGGGTGCACAAAGTTTGAGATGAGTAAAGATGCATGTTTAAAGTTAAGAAATTAAGAAAAGAAGAAGTGATGACGATGGCTTGCTGCACTACTTTCTTTGAGTAAAACTGTACCGCGGCAGCCTTTTTACATTTTCAAGTTTTTACAGTACACAAAGGAAAAACATAAAAAAACAATACAGCCAACAGAGGCCTTGGCTACAGTTGCAAGATGACAAGCTAAGTCCCTTTGGTGCTCCAGTGAGTAAGCCTTGGATGAGTAATCATGCTTGACAGAAGCGAGAAAAGCTCAGCAAGGGATTCAATGGAGTGGCAAAAATCAACTTTACTCAGACCCCCCCGCATGTATGTGGTGACGGCGCTGATAAGAAAGCAGAAAACCTCAAGGACTGTGTCTAGGAAAGATCTGAAACATCTCACGAGGTTGAAAAGAGCAATGAAGCTGGAGATATTTAGACAGCAAAAAATGGATTATGACAGTGAATCATATCAAACTTTAAGAAAAATGACAGATTACTGCTTCCATTCCTGCACTATATACCAAAATATGTGAGCTGTATCAAACTCAGTGCTTCCACATGAGAAGGCTGTTATAAAGGGAGGCGGATGTCCAGATTGATCGAGCACATTAGCTGAGCAGTCAAATGTGAGGTTACATTCTGAGGAATGTTAGAGAGCCTTCACATGAAAAAGATGAGGCTGAACCTCTTTCAGTACAGTATCATTGATCTTGCAGGGATAGTCTGACACATATTCAGATGCAGCAGTTGCTTACTGATAATAAGTTCATTAAGCAATGTTTTGCTCTGCCCAATTCATTACTTAAAAACCAATTCAGCAAGGTTAAGTCCCTACTTTATATTCTAATGTATTTACCTTAAAATGCAGGGTGGCAGGCTGTTAGTTAGGAGTTTGTTGAAAATTAATTACTGCTTATTGTAAAATTGAACAGTCATTCATCAAGCAAATTTCCTAAAAAAGTTCTGGTTCCAGAAAGTGAAGATTTACTGCTTGTGTCTGTTTTATATCATTGTAACTTTATGATTTGGACGGTTGGTCAGACATCTGAAAAGACATGGCCACAAGTTACACGATTTAAAAAAATGTATTAATAATGAAAAAGCATCGATATGCATCTTTATCCTGATATAAAATAACCTCAATCAGAATATGAGATTTGGGTCATATGCAATTCTCTCAGAGATTATGATATATCATGCAAATTCCTGCGCTTTAACACAGGACCATAAAGCATCAATTAGTTCACCTTCCCTGGACTTGACATTTAATATTCTCGTAAATCCTTTCCCATTGCTCTTCATTCTGTGTCAGCTTCAGATTCTTTTCCTGTGTCATCATTAGAGTCATTGTCATCATCATACACAGATGCCTCATGACCTTTCCCACGGTTCGTAAGTACGTTATCCATAAACTCTGCACCTTTGGAAGCTGTACAAGCTCCACGAATCCCTTGGAAATAAGTTGCCCACCATTATTGCACCCACTAGAAGCTCAATAGCTAAAGTAGCACTGAAGACTTTGGAGCTTCTGAATAAATTGTACATAAGATATTTAACTGATTGAAAGACGGTACGAGTATGGTATGAACAGGTAACAACTGTAAACCTTAAGGCTTGAAATGGAGACAGATCTTGATTCCATATCTCCCTGTATTTTATAAGAATAGACATTTTATTAAGAAGCTGGCATTTCTTCCCCCGTTCAGTTTTCTGATATCCTTCCATTGTTTACTTAGTGTAGATACTTTGCTTTTTAACAAACTCAATAGTTCCTCCATGTGTATCCGTTTGGAGCCCTGCAGCCCTTCAGGAGCCGCAACGCCTTCGTTAATAAAATAACACAGCATGGAAATGAATGAACACTTAAGCTCTATCACTTGTTCACACTAATTAGTATAATGCCCCCCCCCAAAAAAAGGAAGAAAACTCTGCTGCACACTCTCCATCATTACTGGACAGAGCACTGTGCAGAAACGTGCCCTGGTTGAGAGAGTGGCGGCAGTGATACAGAGCATAGTGCTAGTCTCACAATTTAGCCAAGGCAAAGCTCCTGACATTCTAATTAGGGAATTTGCTGCTCCAGTTTAACAATGATGGAGCGAGGCTCTTTATCAGGCAGGCCAGGCCACATACCTGGCAAGCTGTGACACCATACTGAGCCAGCCCCACTCAACGGCCCACATCCCTCCACTGCTCTCCATGGACTAAATAAATTAACCACCGGATGTTCTGGTGAATAACAGCCAAAAATGATGGCTGACCAAAGTTTGACAAAGACAAAAAAATATATATTGAACTTGATTTCCACAACATTTTTTATCAGTGTATGTAAAATGTTCCTCTTCTGATTCCTAAGAGGACATAAGATTTTAAAACTATGTGTGAGCAGTGATCGCACCTCTGAGCTAACAGCTTTCACCATAATTTTCAAAATAAGACTCGCAGTGACAGATCTAATTACACTTGATACAATCCATATGCTTTAAAGCCTTCCCACAACCAAAATCACAGACCTGAATGCCATCACACGCCGAGCACTCACCAGAGCAGACAACACTGACCACACCCTAAATCATAACTTATCGCTACTGCTATCCGGACGGAGTCACGGAAGACTTAAACTGATATTTCTCTAGGAGCTTCGTATCCTCTGCCATTGCAGAAATAAATGAACTGCCACGATGAATGTGACTTGTGTGTACTTTTTTTTTATGTTTCATTTGATGTTCTGTAGGTTGCCTCGGTTTGGTAGGTTGCCTGAAATGTGTGCTTTTTGGATCGACTTTACTGAAATGACTGTTAAACCAATTTCCCTCAGGGGACATTAAAGTGTAAAGTCTTAAGCCTATATGTATTAATGTAACCTTAAGAAAATTGTGTTTTTCATAATCGGAACGACAAGAGACACAGGGAGTGGGAACAAGGGGTGAAGAGAGGACTAAGTGCTAACAAGTATTTGTAATTTTAAATTCTTGTGCACTGGGTTATTCCATTAATTCGGCAGCGAACAGAGCCTGTTAACAAATACAGTGGCAGATATGCAAATATTAGAAGACATACATGCCAGAAAGGATTATGTTAAAAAAGTGAAGAATAAATATAGTTTCTTTGGAGGAAAGAAAAGGGGTTTGGGTTCATTCATGTCCACTTGTTACAGTATCTGACAAATAAGTGATTGTGGGGAACAGAGATGTGACAGAGGTGGAGATAAAGGATCTTATTCAAGAATCAGTCCTAGAAACAGAATTGAGAAAACAGCATTGTGATGGGCTATATGTCCAAATATTATTATAACTCTTCTTTACGAGCAGAGAATGACAAACAGCCAAACAATCACATGTTATACTGCCTCACAATGCATAAGCACTATATCTATATATTTGGACTTTTGTTACAGCCCTAAAACTGCATTTGACGAGACAATCTTTAATGGTTCAACAATGATTCTTGGTATCCATCCTTCCATCCATCATTACTGCCACATACATGGCCGTATAATCAGTGAGCACTTACTACTCAACGGATCTTCATCAATCACATCAAGGCAATGTATTCATGTTACTTGTCCCATCAGTTAATGTTGATTTTCTTTATATTGTGACTGGGTTTGTCTTCCTTGTTTGTGAAACAGATTCATGCTTTCTGCATCGATGTTGAGGAAGAGCGGTGTAACAACCTCTCAGCACATTCCTTGAATTGAATTTAAAATAACAGTGTTTCTTTTAAGTTTGTCAATTTGGGGCTTTCACATGCTTTAGTGCAAAGGCTTGGTGAATGCAGTAGGTGTTTTTGCCACCTTACATCTCCATCTGTGTAATTCTGTCTGTTTTGTCTAGAATTGAAAACGACTGGTTTGCTGCTTCGCCTTAGTTTAGCTTTTTCATCTTTGGCACAAGATAAGAGTAAAAAAGCAGATCTCTTATCTCTCCATTCAATCATTGCCAAGTTCTTCAGAGCACACCTCCGATGTATAGCATTCCTTTTTTATGTCACTTCTTCATTATTTTCCCTGCCATCTCTTCTTAAATCATTCATTTGCATCCACCACCTCCTTGCTATGTTTTTGGCCATTCGTTCCCTTTTTCTCTATTCTCTTTAATTCCTTCCTCCTCCATTTCATCCATCCATGACCGTCTTACTGAGTCCTTTTGCTCTTCTGTGTCCCACCGTCTCCCCGTACACGCTACAAATGATCAAATGCTCCAGTGAGCCTATCAGGCCACACTAGTGTTCATATTAGTCTGACTCACTCGTTATGTGCAGAAGCACCGAATCAATACTGTTCCACGTCACACTGAAGGCAACACACACATTCACCTGTACACACTACAGCAAGTGAGGTGTCCAAATGCTCCAGGCTTGTGATAAATCATCCAGCCAGTTCCATTCAATCTGCCACCATTCACAGCTGCCTACAGACCCAAGAAAATAGCTCTGATGGTTGCAGGCAACTGCAAATCCACTACTGTGGTGTTTGCGAGCTACACCCGAAGTGATAAAATTGTGAAAAGTAAGTCCATGTCCATGTATTGCATCAACTTTCTTTCCTTATTCTCTTGTGCTCTCAGAAGTATTTGATCATTTAAGGCTAGTTTCTTCTTTCAGATTGAGCAGCTTTTTTCCATCTCAGGCTGTTTTGATATGAAATGTGAACACACACACACCAATTACACACAGGTAGCCAAAATTTGCACTCAGAAGAATCCAACTATCCAAAATGTAACAGCTGCATACAACTCCTTTCCAGCCATACCTTTTAAAGTGAATGATAATTTCACCAAATTACACACACACACACACACACAGCTGGATACTCCAGCAAACAAAAAAAAGCTCACCCAACAAAGCTGACATGTTCTGGAAAATTCTGAGCAGTTCTGGCGTGACGGCCGGGCTGTTCTCCAAAGTCACCAACCTGCAGTGTTGCAAGGAGAGGCAAGAGAAGTTGCAAATGAGGGAATAAAACCGAAACATTGGAGAAGTTGTCAAAGAAGGGAGCAGAAGACATAGATTGGAGTTGGCAAACAAAATGTGGAAGAGAAATATAGAGGAACAAATAACACAGACAGAAAGAAGAGGAGAACATGGGAAACATTAGAGAGGAGAAAACGGTATACTAGGTTATGTGGGTGACAAAAGGAGATGAAAAGGAAGGAGGAAGAGAACATTTTCGGTTTTAAGACATGAATTCAGCAGGCCTCTCTCCTCATTTCTAGTCACAAGGCATCGCTGCTGGGATTTCACCTGCAACTAATCCCAAAGATGACGCATGAATAACTGATTCGATGCATTCTCCACAAATTAACGGAGGGAAAAAAGACACAATGTACAGATATGAGGGGAACAAAGAAAGAGCAGAAGCAGCTGATAACAGCAGGAGAAAATGACATTGACTTTGTAAACAAAGAAAGCAAATATTTAGGACACGGCTGTTTATCGGCCAGGATGAAAGACGGGAAAGAGATATAAGACCGTGGCTTTGTGCTACAACAAACACAGCATGCTGAACAGTGCCAGTCTCCTCAGGGAGAGACAGGAAAGAGAGATTAAGAGGGGAGTAAAAAGCAGAGAGATGATTGGAACGGAACAAAAGGTAACCCTAGCAAATCCTATTCCACTGAAACAAACCTTTCTTGAGGGTGTTGTGCAATACTGTTTTGAAGGAAATTCTAGAGATAGCTTTAATATGACATGTAGCCAAAATTATCAGAACACACCAGAGTGTCACGGTCAAACTACTACCATTTTCAAAGTGTTGATATTTTTGCGTGAAACAAATGTTATGATCACAGGAGCTTTCAAGATAATTAAGCCAATATTTCAGAGGAAGACAAAACATTACATGGTACAGCAACAACTTCAAAATAAAAGAAGCTGCCATGATCTCATTTAAAACTCATCACAGCAACATAATTTTTTTTGTTGGTTTTTTTTTACACTCATTTTATCATTAGAGAATATTGCAAAATGATTTTATGGATGACATTGAAGGTAACAAAACATCCTGAAGTGCAATCTGGTGGGTTTAATCATCTTTTATTTATAATGGGTGATGCAGCATTCTGCACTGGCACTGAAGGATCCTAAAGTGTGCCATTTCCTTTCATGAATGGATAGATAGATATTAATATATATTAGAGATAGTCCATAGTTGTGCTAGACTGGCACTTAGGGACAGTTTAATTATACCAAAACAACATGTGTTCAGCAGAATTGCAGTTATCTTACAATGCCATTCTTTAACCAACATCATTATGCTCACAATTGCCATGTTAAGTGGTTACTTAAAGTTAACTTCATTAAATTATTTGACTTCATGAATGGAAGCTCCATGCAAAATAACGTGTGACTGAGGAGGCAGCGCAACTGCTTGTCAAAGTTCTGTTTATCCGGAAAAGGTATCAATCTTTGGCCAAATTGATTATTGACCATATCGATTTATTTGTCAAACAAATCTGCACTTTAGAGAGGGGTTAGAATAACTTGTTTGCATGTGGATGAGAGGCCAAAACATGCAGCTATTTGTAAAGCTATGTTAAGAATTTAAGAAGCTAAGCTATGAATTTATGTTTCATAAATGTCTCCCGAGTGAAGTTTCTTTGTAGAACTCATGAATGATTAAACAGCATATTGTGTGTGCATGTGTGTCCATACCAGAGCTCCAGTCCATCCTCCAGCAAATACACGTGAGGGGGCTGGGAAACATCAGTGCTCAGCTGGATGACAGGCAGAAGGAAAGGGTACAAGTTCTTACTCTCTGCCCCAAGGCCCTGTGAGAACAGAGAGACAGAAAGTCAATACCGATCAAGGAAAACTCAACAACACAGCACAAAAGGTGCTTAAAAAAAAACTTACTTTATAAGTTTTAACTTCTTGATTATCTGCAGAGACAGGGGCATGGCAGTGTAGCAATAGAGATAAACTGTATATTAAAGCTTATATACCACTGCTCACCATTTCCCACCTCTTGTTCTTACAATAATATAAACAATATGTAGGAGAGAATTGTTTTCACTTTCGGTAAAAACAAGGTATCATACATTTTGCAAAAGATTCGAGGTTTTATGTTTTTTTTATGGCCAGCAGTGAGGGGTCCACTTATTTTATTTCATTGAGCAACAACATCAACTCCTGCTGATAAATTTAAGTAACTGTGATGTTTTATTATTTGCATTCTTTTTATCTATATCTTTATTATTATTATGAGAACTAAGACTGTATCCTCTGGGCTATACAGAGTACCCTCTAATGCTTCTGACAATATCAAGCGTCATTTAACTTTTCAAAACATGTTTGTTGTTTTCACACATACATTTAACAAAAAAAAAAACTCTTTGAACATTTTATTTTTGTAATTTATTTGATATAATGTAATCATGCATTATAATTATAGACTTTGAGACTGATCGACGGGCCACACAGTGGTGAGTACTGTTGCCTCACAGCAACATGGTTCCGATTCAAAAGTGCAGATTAGCAGAGAACTATACTATGTTGTGTTTGCCTGTTCTGCCTGTACCATGCGTGGGATTCTGTCCTCCCAGAGTCCAAAGACGTGCAGGTTAGGTTGACTGGTGACTCTAAATTGCTTGTAGGTGTGAATATGGACATGAAAGGTTGTTTGTCTCGGAGAGTCAGTACTGTGATAACACTGGCGAGCAGCCCAGGGAGTTCCCCGCCTCTCACCCAACACCCCCAGATTGCCACTTCTCTCTGGTGTATTGGAACAACCATTATTCATGTATTCAATTTCCCATCTTGTGGTTAGTTTTGTAAAGGATTTTGGAATTGTTTGTGTTAACTTATAGTCTAGGAAGCAAGTTTCCACTAAAAAAGTTTGTCATTCATAGTGTACTTAAGTGTACTTCATAAAAGGATAACCTACCCTTGTCCAAAACTGTTAGTACACTTACTGACAACCTAGACACACATTAAGAAACTTAAATACAAACTTTTTTTTTATCCATAAATATTTGAACACACATTTTTATTTACCGACTGTAGCACTGACAGACATGCTTAGCCTAACTTATGAATTATGCCCTCTGAAATTGTTATTCCCCTTGAAACATCACTTCCATCTTTATCACACATCCCCTCAAACTCTTGTCTGTCGATGAAAATGTAACCACTGTCTGACACCGTGCCCTTTCAAAGCACCCCATCACTTCAAGTTTTACTCACCCACTTTGCGTATTCACCCAAAACACACATGAGAGCATGCGGGTGAGAGTAATGAGTAGAAGTGCTGTGTCTGTGTGTGTGTGTGTGTGTGGTTGTGCTAAAGAAATTATTCTGTCTAAAGGCGAGGATCCAAACTTGTGTCTCAGAACTGTCAACATTGTTTCAATGATGGTGTGACATTAATTTGGTGTAAATATGCTCCCTCCTGCTTCAATGTGGGAGTGAAAGAGAGGGAGCCAAGCTCAATTCCCACTTGGCACGACCCTGTTTCCCCAACACAGGCAACAAGTCACTAGTCTCTTGCAGGCAAAAAGCTATTTCTAAGTTAATAAACAACCAAGCCAATATGCTGGCTTTTATGAGCTTAAGAGCTGATTTAACGCTGCCTGATCATGCACATGCGATGATGAGTTTATGCCAGTTCCAGATAGACTAAGGTCGAATAGTCAAAATTATCATTCGTCCATGAGAAGTTCAAAGTTTCTCTGTCCCCAAAATAGTGTTTTGTTTTATCAGTGTCCAGGATATGGGTGTTTGTAAGTGTGTATTAGAACACGGCAAAAACTAGTGATGTCTGAGATTCTTCTTGATCTATTTTTGCCTTCACCTACATTTGCCCTTTTGCATCCTTTATTCCAACTCTAATGTCCACTGGTCTGTAGATCGCTTCATGTCAGAAAACAGAAATAATCTTTAGTAGATGGAAGTAAAAAAAACAAACAAAAAAAACCTCACTTTTTATTTCTTTGACATCAGCGTTATATTGAATAGTATATATTAAAATCTCAATTAGCATGCAGTTACACAGTTGACTAATCCAAGCCAATTTAGCTGTACACCCTCAGTGCTTCATGCCATTTTCCATATGTGTGCTTGTGTTTTCTCTCTCAAAAGGATTACGTCTATCACTAAGTGTTACAACTCCTACTGTGAAGTACTGCAGAGGCAGCCACACAGGGGGCCACATCTTTCAGCCGGCTGCTTTGATACTCCAGGGAATGGAGCATCTGTTTTCTTAAGTTAGGTTAGTGATAAAAAATTATTAATACTGAGGCAAACGACTGAACAAAAAAATCTAATTGATTTGATGTCTCAACCATTTGTAACTGTGTGAAAACATGAATAACAAAGCAGGAAAGTGAGTCAAAGCTGCTGCAAGTTGCTTATCAACCCAAGTTAAGATTCTAGGCAAGTCAGGGGAAGCTAAAACAAAAAATTGGTATCAAAGGAACCCAGCTGTTTTGGGGAAATGAACCCAAACTCTCGCAGACAATTTGGAGCTCAGCCTCTGCAACATGTGGCCAGAGAAGTAACACCCCACTTCCTGCCAGATTCACTGAGCAGTACCACCTGTCACACTGCAGAAGCTGCTAATGCCACTAAAAATGAAGGATGAACATATTACACTTTAAATGAAATGAGCCATCTAACCCAAGGGACCATTAATTAAATTAATCCTCAGTGTAATTCTTGGCAGCTGATTTTTTGTTGCTGTTTCAATTATTTCTATTCCAATTATTTTGTTAATAGGCTCTCTTTCTTGTGGTCCTGGAAGAGACACAAGAACTGGCTTGATGTAGAAAACCTGAAGCAGCCAAATGTGTGCTGTGGATCATGAGTGCAGTGCATTTGGGAAGGAGCCTCATTCGGGCAGTAAACGTCTCATCTCAATCAATGAAGCATCCGCACACTCAAAAGTTTTTTTTTCTAGTTAGGTTTTATCTTACGGTAATGAATGAAAAGTTTGCCACTGACAATTACTTTGACTGGAGCTATTCAGCACTGCCCTTGTGAAGTTGAAACGAGTGAATCCTGAGGCCACACCGCCTGCCTCACCTGTGTGGATTTATATTTAGTTATCTGATATTTATTGGTATTTTATATTAGCCAGGTGGTACAGGTGCAAAGCGTGCACACCTGCTGTACTCTGATTGAAGACATGGGACATGACAAGGATGTTTCTATGTACAAACACTGAACAAATGCATGTCAGGGTGTTGGTACTCTGCTCATGTGGTGACCTGTGGCCTGCGAGAGCAAACAACCCCAACTATGTTCAATATAGTGCAATTGCATGAAACACTTTGATTGCCTGTATGTAAACTAACAGGAAGATGTTTAGGTTTATTCCAGACTGGTAAACACAAACAGTGCTAGGGATGGTCAGGTTACCTTGATGGATGCACTTGCACTTTAACCTTATCCTTTATCTATGTGGGTGAATTGTCTGTGCACTTTTGTTTGCTTTCCCACTTGCCTTGAATTGCCCCTTGAGGGACAAATAAAGTATTCTGAATTGAATTAAATCTTTAACATGGAAATGGGCGCTGCGGTCGATTAAGAGTTAAGGCGGATCCCACCACAATCTCACGGCTTGAAACCCAGCTAGTGTGGCATCTGTTGTCATAACCCCCCCTCTGCAACAGATGCCAATTAAAGGCGTCAAAAGAAACCAGTCTTTAATCAGCAAAAGAAACAGAAAAGAGAAACAAAAACTGGAAGCTGAAGATGCACCATACCTGTACCAGGTGGACGAGTGTAGTGAGTATGGCACAGCGAAGCATGTTGTGCTCTTCAGATTGCTTCCAGAGTAGAGGCAGGTACTGAACCAGGCAGCCGACGTATGGCCGGATCTGAAACGAGAAAAAAGAAAGAAAATGCTCATAACTTCTCTCTCTTCAGAGTTCCTACTTTTTGTTCTAAATCAAGTTCCATCACTGTCCTTCCTTTGTGAAATTGGAAAATATGATAGAGCACGGTGTAATTATGATGCAGCTGCTGTGCAGAAAGCGAGATCTAAGACACCGGAGTACCGACTGAATTCCGGACTTCAAACTGATTTCTGCCATTTACTTTTTCTGACTTGTCTTAACACTTCATATTCCCTGTGGAGGCCAAGTGGCCAGGCTGCAGACCCCAAACTGGGATTTCTTTGCTCGATTACACCTTTATAAAGGAGGGGGGGTTCTGAGCAGTGGGAACAATAAAAAATCCAACATGACACAGCCTTGAGAAGAAAACTAAAAAGGGCGAAAAAGAGACTCACAAACCAGCTTAGGATGACAATTCCCAGACTGACAGCAGAAAAAAGGAGCTATATCTCATCATATCTGTCATCATTTTCATCTCAACTCTAACTGCGCTCAGGGTTTTGTTTTGTAGCTGAAGCCCTTTTTTTGGTTCAAAATCCCTTGTGACTAGGGTTAGAATATTAATGGGACTTCCACTGACTCTGGAAGTTGAGCCAAGGCCAGTGACTGGGGAGGACTTAACCAGACTGACAGCTCACAAGGATGAAAGCCATTTCGGTGACAGATTTAAGTCAAGAGATCGTTTAAGGAAAGGTGCTTAAAATGGATCTGAACAGGGCCTGTGGGGGTCGGGAGGAAGGTCACTTTTGTAGGGCTGGCAGTTAAGTGGATTAAAATGATTTACTGGATCCTGAAAAAAAAAAAAAGCAGAATCCATATGGGCACAGAAGCTTTGCAGTGGCAGAGGGGAGAGTGTATCATCATGGTAAATGAGAGCAGACAGAACAAGAGCGGCCTGAGGCCTTATGATTTACAAAGAGTCAATTATTGGACTTCACAAATGCCAGTGTCTCAGGATGTGAAAAACCATTAATGCGGAGCTATCTTTGAGGGCAGCTGGTTGTTTTACCTTGGCGGTTTGGGGCTAGTACAGGGTGACAGATGTTTTGTATCAGAGTTGTAATGTTTTTTAACAGCCTGACATGTCCCCTGCAGAGTTGAGGTCAATGACTACAATTTGTACAGTGCTATTCTTCACAAAGCAGCAGCAGAATATATCTATCTCCCCGGCTGTCAAACTCAAGGGCTCCCTCAAAGACATCCCGGAGTTTGGCTCAGGTTGACTTTGCATACTCTGGGAAAAGTAATATGAGACCTATATTCCACACACAGCTATTGTCAGATCTCACCTGGATGTTCACTCTCTCGATGACACAGGAGATGACGTGGAGCACCTGCATTTTAGTGTCGCACTCCGTCACCTGCTGCAACAGCTGGAAGAGCAACCCGAAGATCGACTCCAGGTACTAAACAGAGGAGACAGAGAGCAGAGTGGGAAAAATTGGACGTCTGAAAAGTTCAAATCAATATGAAGACATTTTGAAATCATTTTTTAAAGCATCATTTCACAAAATGTGAAACATGTACTTACAGGGAGGAATTGTTCTGTCCGGAACTCAAAGTCATCAACAGGTGGGCCTGAGTTAAGGAGGAAATAAACAGCTTGGGACGGATATGAAAGCAGTTCATTGGTAGTTTCTCAAAACTTACTTTTACAGAATGACTTTTACAAAATAATGTTTAGCTGTGCTTTGTTATTTTTAAATAATTTTCCTTTGCCATTCATTTTAAATGGTTCTGTATTTTTAAATGTCTTGTCCTTGATTAAATGTTTTATAATATGCTGTCTTTTAAATTAAATTGTATTATTTTGCTTGGTGCCTTTAATGTTTCATGGTCTTATTTTCATTCATCCTCTAAGTGACGAACTTTGTAACAGCTACTTTTAAAAATAAAATTATTATTGTTATTATGATACACTATGTATATATCAACATTCTTTATTTCCTTTTGCCAGAGCTAAGGACTGATCAAGCTTTAATGCTAAGTAATGCAGTGAGGCTTAGTTAACAAGCATAACAACATCATCAATGTATTTGTAACAAAAATAATCTATCTAAAAAAATAAAAGTATGAGAAGGATATTGAGCTTCAGGGTTGTAGCCGTCTCAATCCGCACCTAGGAGACAAAAATGATAAGCATACTTTTAGAAATAAGGCATCACACAATTTTCCCCTACTGGTGCACACGTATTGTTACAGCTAAATAAAGCAGCAGACAGAGAAGTATTTCTGTGTTTGTAGTGAACTACGCTGAAGAATATAGAGAGGAAAGAAATAGATTAACATGAACAGATTGTGATTGCCACAGCTGCACATGCAGCAATGCGACCAAACACAAAAAACATGATTACATTTTCCTTTAATAGCAGCATCTGAAAGTCCATGACAACCAGCGCTCACTATACAGCTTTTCATAACTGAACACTGAGGAAGTGTGTGCCTACAGTGAATATCTTTCTATTGTTATTAAAAGGAAGCAGCCCCTCCAATCTAATAGACTCCAGCAGTGTAATGGAATGAGGTGGAGTGTAAGAGTTATAGAGGTGGTGGACACGTCCGCAAGGGAGAAAGTGATGAGATCAAGGAAAGGATATAAAAGAAGGAACTCAATTACACTCAGATCTTGTTCTCAATTATTTCACAACACATATTAAGAAGACATGAGTGGAAGTAAGGGGGGGGTGCGAGCAGGGCTGCAGAAAAAATCATTAGCTATCCAATCTGTGAAATATATTTGGAAGTTATAGTCTAAATAACTAAACAGTTGTATTTTAAGACATGACTATATATATATATATATATATATATATAATACATTTATCACAGATCTTTCCAAGAGGCTTTTAAAGTTAAAGTAAAGAGCTTTTCAAAAAGACACACTTTGACTAAATAGTTGTCCATGTTGCTCAGGCTCCAAAATATACCAGATCACAATGTAAAAGAAAGTGATAAAAGATTCTTTTGTGTTTGTTAAATATTTTGTTTTTCAATTCGTAAATCATTCAATATCCATAATTGTGGTGGGGTCTCTTAAAAAAGAAGCAAGTTCATTTTCATTGAAGTGGCTGGAGTTTTTCTGTCGTGCTGCTCTCTACTTTTTTGCTTTTTTAATGTCAATCAGTTCACTTCAAAGGTACGTCAGTTTTCAGGAAGCTACTTTGTTCCACCATGTACATATTTTGAGCATCAAACCTAAAGTAGGATCATATATAAACAGTTTCTGCATTTTCCCATTTCAAACAGACCAAGATAAGCAGCAGCCTTTCAAACCTCCCACAAAAAGCTATTCTCCATTTTCAAACAAGACCTCCGGAGGCCGCCCAGAGAATTGGGTCCAGATTTTCTCGACAGTTTTCCTTTCACACATGCACAACGCAGCAGGTGATTCTCCGCTCAGACACGTTCACAACAACACAGAAATGTCCACAGCGTTCAGGACTTTCTACTAACTTTATACAAGGGGACGGGTGGAGAAAGTCCACAGAAACTGCAGAGGCTCTCACTCAGACATTTGCAGTCAATTATATTCCCGCCGACCAGAAAGTTCGGTGGATCTCCAGAGTTCAGAACATGTGAGAAAGCATCTTATGTAAGAATCAAACTTGTCACTGCTGCAGAGGATCAGCAGCAATATGAACTGTTTCAGTTTAAACTACATTAAAGTATGAGATTTGGAGACCAAACATAAGAAATAGAACAACTTTTCCAAGGAATACTGTATGAAATTGAGACACAATGAAAAAACATTAGACACATTTGGATTCACCCCGTCTCCTAGAGGAACACCATGGGTGGGAGAGAAATGCCATTTTCATGTCATATTTCAATGTCATTGTGAATAACATCCTACGTTCTTCCTACAGTCTGTTCACATCATAAATGAAACCAAAAGCTGCTGTAAAATGTACTTTCAAAATATAAAAGACTTACAGATGAAATTTCCGGCCTGTCTCAGCGAGATCATAAAATCATGAATGAGTAATGCTGCATATTAACAACAAAAGGAGTGTGTTGATGAAGGAGTTCTATCAGCACTGGCCTTGTCTGCAAATCAAACACTGATGAGAGCAACTGCATTTAAATTCCACAGTGTAGAGGATAATAGACCGCTTGATGAAACCCTCAATAGACAAACATAAAATGTCTGTTGGTGATTCAGTCAAAATCATTTGCTTCACATTATCATTCAGCCATAAACTTTCTTTGAGGGATACTAAAAAAAGTAGGTTTGAACTGAATTTAAAAGTGAATGAAAGTTTAATCTGTGACGATAAGTGTGAACTAACTCACCGAAGCTGAAAACAAGAAGCTTCAACTTGGCAACAACTCAGTGAAAAGCAAATCCAGATCCCAACGAGCACAATCGCACATTTGTTAAATAACCACACTCTTCTCTCAGGGAAGCCATTTCAATTTCATGAAAAGAAACAAATAATTAACAACGTGACAATTCATTTTTCTACAAAATTTGAGATTTTACATGGATTGTTAAAACATTTAAGACAAATAATAGTTTTGTGCACACTGAAAAAAGAAGAAGTCAGTCTGGTTATAATCTTAAATCCCAGAAATGATTTGTGGTTGGAGACAGAGGTTTGTCAGGATACTGCATTTCATGTATAGTAACTAAGAGCCTGATAGGATTATAATTATGAGGCACAAATCCATATTTAAAATGCCTCAGAGCCACCATACAGACGAGGAAACGGTTGACTATAAATGTTACCGCTTGATGTCATCAAAGCTGGCTAAACAGGAAATTCTAGAAAACATCATTACCTCCTACTGGGAATGCAAATGACCTAAAAAATAGAGGGAGTTGAAATTTGCCACCAACATTATTTTTAGCTTTCACTCAGAATCTGTGAGTAAACATGAAAGGAGAATGCAGCAGTTAGAATGTGGAGGAGAACGTATTGGAGGTAATGGCAATGGCACCACCGCCAATGCTGAACAATCCTAAAGATGATTGTTATTTCTTATGGTAAAAATAGGAAAGAAAAATGTAGGAGTAGTCTGATAACAGAATTTTCTTTTTTAAATAAAAGTAGTTCAATAGTTAAACAAAGTGAAAATGCATCTGCACCAGAATTCAATGGTTTCTTCCCTACATCACATTTTGTGGAAATCAGTTACAAGAGTCCTGCGAACAAATAAACCGAAATCCAACTAGAATGGCACACACCTCCGCCAAGGCTCAACAGTCCCCTTAAGAAGCCACATTTAAATTCACTACATCTGGATTTTAATTTGAATCTGCACCAAATTGCACACAAATGAATACCAATCCCCTTAACAGACTTATTTTTCCATCAAGATTCAGGAATTATTCTCTGAGAAAGTGTAAAAAAAATAAAAAAACACCCATTAACAATGTTGAAGAAAAAATTGAAAATGCATGAATTCAAGCGCCTGATCTGGAGCAGCATAAGAATAAATTGGGTTCTTCCCGTTCACATACTGCATTATTCCACCATGTTTTGTGGACATCCATAGTCCAGCTAACAAACAAGCAACAAAACCTTCATAAAAACACAACATTAAAATCTGATCACAAATTATACTGATCACTACTTTCACAGTCGTGGTGAAGAACAGACGGGACATGGGGTGAGAGAATCTGGGAATGAGGTGGAGTCGAACCAGGAACCTGCTGCTCCACAACAGGAGAAAACCTATACTACAACTACTACTGCAGTTAAATAACCATTTCGATCCACACATGGTGGATAGTAACTCTACTCGACAGTTTTTCCAATAGGGCAACATTAACGAAGAGATCATTACTTCAGTCAACCCTACTCCATCTCATACAGATTCCTCCCATTTCTCTCCTTTAAAGAAAAAGCCTCAAAGCATACAAAAAAAACGATGAAGTATCTGGGCAAACCAATGTATCTTTTGTCGATAAATCATTTTGATGACGTAAAGAAATTGAAATATCAGATACATGTAGCTCTGATTCAGTTTCTATTTGAACAGGGGCCACAAAACAGCTTCAGAAATATTGATGAGCAGTTGGACTGATTGATAGGGGGCAGTTTGTGCCATTAGTCCATTAAAAGGTTTATGATGAATATCTGTTTCTGCCCAACAGGTTCTAATTGGCCCATGCAGACAATATTGATCAGGAGACACTTGGTGAGCTGGTCAGTAAACTCATAGAAAAAGTAAGAAACTGTGAGAAGCATCAGTTGCCTCATAAACCTTCCAGCGATTTCCAATTTG